TGTGTTTGCCGATAAGAGCCTGCCAGTGTGCCAGGCACCACCCCCTGCAAATCACCACGGCCACCTTTGTGCGGGTGCCTCCAGGGACCGAGGCAAGGGAGGCAGCACCAGGCACTGCACGAGCAGATAGGAGCACTGCCAGCACGGCTGCGGGCCGGTTGGTTGCGTATAACCAAAACCCCTGGTAGGAGGGGAGGTAATGAGCTGTCTCTACCTACTTCTCAGCCTTGACAGAGCCAGCAGTCAGCACGGACGGCCCGGCTGTGCATTCTGAGGATGCACAAACATTTCTTAGCAATGATGATGTCTTTCCTCAAGCACTATGTGTTTTTTTACGCAGGAAGAACATTTTCCCTGTCATTTTTAAACACATTGCTCAACAAGGAGCTGAGAATGACAAGTGAGCATGCTTGTATTGGCAAGGGACTGTTTCATTCGTGCTACTTTAATTGAGTTCTTTTATCTACTTTTATCTAGTTCAAAAAGTAGTCTGCCGGGTGAGCACAGGTATACATTAAAATGGATAGAAGGGAAAGTGGGTGCATGTTTTAAACGAGGCCTCTTAAAGAAAACACATGTCCTTTGAAGTCATGAAGAGTTTTCCACTTGGCTGTCTGAAAAGCCACTCTCACCTCCTGGTATGTTGCTGTGTCAGAAATCGGAGGATGAGCAAAGACTGAAGCCCTCCAGCTAGCTGCCACGAGAGCTCTGAGGGCAGCAGGACCTGCATTCGGGAACCGGAGCCTGTGCAGCTCCCCCCGGCACCACCCCAGCCCTCCCACAGCTCTTCTGGGGCACTGGGGGTGCCCAAGCTCCACCTCCCCTTCTCCCCTCGCTTCAGATTTCTGTTTGAAAGGATAATCCATTGCCATGTTACAGCAGAGGGAGTATTCTGTGGGTCTGCATAGGGCAGGTTTGTTTCTCAGCATTATAGAAATCTGAGTAAATAACAAATGGGGTTTTTTTGAAAAGGAGGAGGGAGGGAGCGCAGTGGAAAGGCTCCTTCCAGCGCTGGAGCCTGCTGAGGGCTGCAGGGGCAGCTGTGCCTGCAGGAAGGAGGATCACTGCTGCTCTAAGCAGGGCCCAGCATTCGGGGGGTTGTAGAAAAAAACCAATATGTGGAACTCAATTCAGAAATGCAGTGAGGATAGCCTGGAGACTACAATAGATGCATGCCTGCTATAAAGTGGCCTTTAATAATGCCTTAGAGAGGTCTGTGGAGAATGTGCTGGAGTTGTCCTGTCTCAGATGGACAAGAGCACAGATCGTTTGTGGCTCGGGCGCTGCTGAAGGGCACACATCACCTCCCTGTGGGTTGTTGAGGGACAAACTGCATTGGCCATATCAACAGCCGTGGCGGATTCAGAGCCGTCAAGATCTTCAGACTGCAGATGTGAGCAGTGAATGAAAGGTGCATAGAGAGTCTGCTTTTTTCCCTGATTCCTTCCCTTGTCCCTTACTAGGCCACTGGGTAAGTAGTCTTTCTGTGGCATACTGCGCCAGCCTGCTTGTTCCATAGCACTGTTTCCGTAGAATATTCTCCTAGCTGTCAGCAACCTTACCTGGGCACTTCTTGGTGTATTTTATTCAAATTCCTCAGATAATCTTCCTCCACGAATTTACATTTTGAAGTTTCTTGTTGAAAGAAAGTGTAGTCTTTCCCATGGTGGGGACCCAGAGTTCAGTTCCACATTGGTAGGAAGTGTCCTCTTTTGCTCACTTTAGCCTCTCACCTGCTTTGATTTGATACCATTTGGTCCTTCTGGTGAAGGAGACGGTGAGCAATTGCCCCTTTTCCACCTTCTCCACCCACTCATGCCTGAGCAGTCTTCTTTTGCTGCCCCCTTTGCTGTCTCCAAACCTGCATTTTCAGTTTTCTTACTGATGCCTTCTGTATCTTGTCCCAGAGTAGGAGACTGAGGCACAGGGTACAGCATGGCTAACAGGAGAGCGAGTGGGCAGGGTGTCTCCTTGTGCTAGAGATGTGGTCACATTTGCGTGTCTGTCCTGGTTCCCGAGCAGGAGGCAAGGGACAGTACTTGTCCTAGTGTGAAGACCTGGCAGACAGAAAGATGGTGTCTGGCTATGCAGGGGAAAAACAATTAAGACTTCAATGTTTATTAAGAAAAAAGTGACCAGCAGTGCATTTCAAGCACTCATCATGCAATATAATTTTGCTGTTGGAAGTGATGGGATTAAAAAAGTATTTCTGATGCTGATTTCTTTGAATTCGACAAATATTTTTTTTTTTGTTTAAAATATCCATTAAAACTAAAGGAAGTGTGTGTACAAGCACTGTCAAGAATTCCTATCTTTTTTTTTTAAAACAAGCCTAGAAAAGAATCCCCACAGAAGTTCTGTAGTGCATATTTGAATGCTTTTGTTGTAGCCTCATTAAACTTGGCTTGTCTGCAGATACAGCTGGCATGTTATTAACTGTGCTCCAGGCTCGGGGAAGCCAGAAAGCAGCCTCCACCCCCCAGTGCCGGCTGGCGTGAGGGAAACGTGCCAGCATGGGTTGGTCCTCTTACGCAGGCTGGCTTTGGGAGCGCTTGCTGGAGCATCTCCGTGTGGCCTCTGGGTCTGGGAGCCCAGGGCTCAGCCTACCCCAAGCGCGGACTCGAGGGAGGGCAGCGTGCTGCCCCTGGGGCTGGCCGACAGCACGTGCCCCCCCAGCACAGCAGCCCCTTGCCAGCAGGATGGATCCGCCAAGGTAGGTGGCCTGCCGGGGACAACTTCAGCCGGGTGCTTGTGTTCTCCAAAGGGGTCTGAATGCCTTTCTTTACCGTGAACTGGCAAGAAGCAAATTGGTGATCAGGTAGTTTCGCTGTTCTGAAAAAACTTGTTGTTGGACTGAACCAGTCAAATAAATTGAACAAGGGAAATATTTTCCCTGCACCTGCTGGAGAGGCTGTTGCTCTCCAAGTTGGGTTTGCGCATCAGAACACCTCCACCAGAGGTCCAAGCAGCTTCTGACTTCCTGCAACGCTTTGACAACTAGTATGGACCTTCTGAATGCTGTTTCATTTAAGTATATTTAATAGGCGTTTTTACTTGTAAGGTGAATTTCAATTCATAATTGTTAAAAATGAATACATAGAAATTTTTATTTTAATAATGTGTAATATTATTATCATAGGTAATGTATCATAGGTAATATTATTTGAACTTCTTGCTTTTTACAACCAGCTTTCATTGCCTTAATTAACGAAAAAAATGATTTGCAGTTTTCAAGGCACTAGGTCCATTCACGTTACATACTTCCTAGGGCATTTGAGCACTTTGTCATCTTTAAACATTTAGGCTAGCAACTCCTTTCTGACACAAGGAAGTACTACTCTTATTTTTATCATCACAGAATTAAGAAGTCACTCTAATTTGGCTTAAGTTTTGACTGTTACTGGCAGGAGTGTTAGTTCCTTCTGTCTCCTACCTTAGCCTGGTAGCAGGTTTGTGTTGTCATTGCTGACAAATAAAAGGATTAATTTTTAGTTTGTACAGCTCCTGGATCTGGTGCCCTATGGAGCTGCACAAGCCTTATGTCAACATGAAGGGGACAAGAGGTCAGGTTTGGCGGAGAATTCAAGACTTTCCCCTTTGACTGCCTCAGTTATTTTGGATGAAAATGTCTATAACTGTGGCTTCACCAATTTGCCTAATGACATGCACGAAATTGGTGGAAGAGCCAAGGTCTTTGATCCAGGTGACACCTGTAGTCATGGGAGTGGGCTTCCTCTTGAAGGCACCATTTTTTTGGCACGTGGGTCCACTTCTTCTTTACTCTTCCTTGAAAATCTTTCTAAGCATAATGGTGAAAGACTTTTTTGGCTTCTCCTTATCTTGTTACTCAATTACTGTTAGCCTTGCTGAGGAGAACATAAGGAAAGGCTGAAGAAGCCCATTGCTTTTCTCCAGGGAATCTGTTACATTAAACATTTGAATAGATTTTTGAATGTAATTCCCAATCATTTCCTCTACAGTGAACTCAGTTCACTCGTGCAGACGTTGTACTTAATGATTTCTCTTAAAATAAATGAGATTTGAAACAATTTATATCAAATGGCCATTTTAGAAATCCACATGTACTAATTATTCATTAGAAAATTTGGAAAGACAGAAGTAGAATAAATTCCCTTTATGACCTCATAGTCTACAGAAATTATATATACCTGTGTTCATTTTCTCTGAGCAAAACTGAATGCACGTGATTCACTGGACTCTTAAGAGTAGTCTAAGCAGATTTGAATTACATTGTTCAATCTGCATCAATAAATTATAGCAACCAACCAAGCCAAAACCAGCCAAAAATTCAACGTGCCTCCAGGACAGTTTTTTAACATTTATGGTAATACTCAGCTTGTGACCTATCTCTGCGTTGTATGGGATTTTGCTTCTGTGAGTTGTTCCGATTGTCTCCTCGGGGTGACCACCCTCTTCCCTTCCCGCTCCCCGTGGCCTGTGCTGGTCTCCCTGTGGGCTCCCTCCTCAAAGGCTGTTTCCTTGCTCACTCCTTTCTGGAACCACCACCTTCTCACTTCTTGGTCACGGCAGCCTTCTCTCTGACACTGTTGGCATCTGCCCTTGCTGGGCCCCACATGTAACGGAGTCACCTCACAGTTTATACGTTTAAGTTACACCTGACTGTGTTACTGTTTTCTCCTTCACTCTCAGCTGCAGTTGCTCCTTTGTCTGTTGTCCCAGAGCTGCTCTTCCTTGGGGCTCCACACAGGTGCAGAGCCTCCTTGTCGTGTCCCGTGAGGACCAGCATCTGCCGGTCTCCTTGAGGTGCTGGGAGAAATTGGGCTGCTCCGTGTGCTGTTTCAGAGGCAGTCTCAGCTAGGCTTAGGCAAGCTGAAGCTGTGTGCTTGTCAAATTTTTGTTCGCAAAACCTAGCAAATGATTTAATTTGCATTCAGACTGCATCCAGATCCAACCTGGATAGCTGCTTGATCTCACCTTACAGCCCTTCTCTATTCCTTTCTCCCTAACAGACACTTGCCGTGGTTTGTTTTACAAGTGCTGTTTCATGTAGGAGTTGTATTCCATTAGGTGTTTTAATGGTATCCAGTGTAACTGGGTTTGATTTTGACCAGAGCCTCTGGTACGTATAAATAAAGCAGACAGTATTCTGTGCTTTTTATGGGGGATAAACTACCATCTTTAGAAGGCAGTCACAACGCTGTTGCATTCCTCACTCGAATAAGACAAATTTAGCCCCAAATTTAAAACAACAGAAAATGAAAGTGAGCAGGATTTTCTTGTGTCTGAAATGAGAGAATACCGAGTTTTCTGGCTGCCAGTTTAAACTCCGGAAATGCAAACATCGGGAAGGAAGATGCTCTTTCTCTCAACAGCTAGGTACACACGTGCATATATGTAATGTACAAAATGATCCATTTTATGTTAAGCAGTTCAGTTTTGAAGACCTGACTAGCTAAAATTGGCTGTGTTGAAAACAGTGTCCTTAATCAGGGGAGCTTCAGTCCTAATTAAAAGAGAAGTGAGGAGAGCCAGTCCTTACAGCAAGTTGGGGGGAGTGATTCAGTGAGTGGTACTGGAGTTGGGAAAAGTGCAGTCCAAGTGAGCAAAACTGTGTTTCCAGTGGCTGCCACAGTAACTGGCTGTGCATGTCCGGATCACCGAGTGACAGGCGGGAGGCTCAGCTCTCAGAGAGCTTGGCCACTCCAAGCAGGGGGCAGAAGGAGGGAAGGAGGATGGGGATTAAAAACAATTTGTGAACTTGCCCCTTTTGAGATAAAAAATGCTTCTCGCCCCGTGCCCAGCCTCACTGCTGAACAGCCGGCAGCTGCATCCCACTCTTCTGCTGTCAGCAAATGTCACTGCAGAAACCTCAGTAGTTCCAAGGAGCCACTATCTGTACACAGGGAATAGAGGAACCTCATGGATAGAAATGTGGTGGTGTGTGGGCTGCTCTGGATTTTACTCTGAGAAAGATGATCTCCACAAGTGTTTTAAATTAGGCTATCCTTGATTTGTGGTGGTATGGAGCCCAACCAAAATTTCAGGAAAAAATAAGTTGCTGTGTTAAAACAGACATGAAAAAAAATGAAGGGCTTAACTTTTGTCCTGAGGGTGATAAAACAGCACCACACAGCTTAAAATCAATCTGACCTTCACCCACGTGATGCTGTTGTCTCAGTCTGTCTTTCATTTCCTTTGGTTGAGTGAAGGCCATGGCATTCAGTAGGGAGAAGAGCCAGAGGGAGGTGGGGAGAATCCTGTTTTCTCTGGAAAGGCTTCGGTGCTTGCATAAGTTTGACTCCATAAAGAGAGTTGCTGTAAAACTTTGAATTATTTTGTTAAATAAATAAATAACACATCCCCCTCCCCTTTCTTCTCTTAATAGGCAGTGATCACATTAAGGTAAAGAAGACATGTGCTGAAAAAAAATTAAAAAAAAGTGTCTGTGATATGAAACATCCTGTTTTAATTAAACCTGGAATTAGTTGGTATTTTGAAATGAAGGCAGCAACAGGAAACCTGCACATTCATTTAAAAACAAAAATTTGTACCCAAAGGGGAGAAAAAAGGCCAATTATTTTTTTCTAGAGATATTTTAACATTCTGTGTTGCAGGCTTTGCACAGACAAAGAGGAGGTACACAGATACACGTGTATTTACATATACATCATTAAATCAACAGTTAGGGCTTGTGTATAAGCAATATTGATTTTCAGAATAGAGGTACGGTTTCAGTTGGTGAACTACTCATTTTGCACAACATCCTGCAGCAAGTGGTTCCCACCTGATTATCCCAAAGTCAGAGAATAAGCTAAATTAATTGGTAAAATTTTGGGCAGAATTGAATTCTATTAAACAGTAGCACCAACAAAGGGAAGAACTATGTGTATAAGCACATTAAGCACATCTTGATACTCTTTTTAATGTCATGAAAGCAATTTTAAGTGCAATTCATAGCTGTTTGTCCAGGCCTCTGCTTTTTCCATCCTTGTTGAATTTAAATGCAACCCAGAGTGAAAAAGTTGCCAGATACGTCTGGAAAACCAAGTTTTCCACTCAGGTGTTACGAAACTAGGATTGCTGTACGTTCTGCCTACCATAGACTGCAGTTTTTCTGGATTCATCTCATCACGTGCAGATGAATAACTATCTTGCTTTGTATTTTTGTGCTATAGATACCCTGGCTACTGTAGCTTAGAGAGAGTTAGGGGTATTTGCTATTTCCTTTGTTCAGTCATGTTGCCTGGTTTTGGAAGGTCTATAAGAAATATCAACTTCTTGTTAACATGATAAAGACAGAGATTGGATTTAGATGTAGAGATTAATCTCTGCTTTGTAAAGGTTAGGAATTAAACAATTTGTTCATTAATCTATTTGAGATGATGGAAATTAATTTGTGGCTGTAGGTTTTTATTTAAGTGTGATTTGTCTGACGTGCCAGCCATCCCAGATGCTATTTCACATCGCATTAAAAAACCCCAAAAGAGCAAATGTAAAAGATGTTGGGACCTTTTTCTGGTGGGCTCGGCTACTCAGGTCTCTGTGTGATATGCCAAAATGCTATTTGCATAAATGTAGGATTTAATACGTTATCATTCTGATTAACGCCATTAACTGCTTAACTACTGTAGAAATTGGCTTCCAAAGTTGCTCGATGGTAGCTGTTGCTCTCCACATCATTCCATTTGCTGTCTCGCTGGGGATAATGGTATGCAAGGGAAAGCAAGAAGG